CATTTCAGGTTTAAATTCTCAAGGGAATGACCAGGCACCTGACAGCTGCGGCCGCTGCTGAGCTGGGCTGTGAGCTACTTCCCAGCACTAGGGGGTGAGGAGGGGCCAGCATCCCTGAACCTTGATCACTGTGTAAGGGAGAGGAAGATGGAGGTGGGAGAGAGGAGGAAAGAGACAGGTGGATGGGATACAGTTTTCCTCCTACTCAAGCAGGGGATTGACTCCTTTTAAAATCGAATTATTTTATTCTGGCAAGGACAGCTGGATTGGTGGATTCAGAGACACCTGCCAGCGCATTGTTGTTGTTGTTGTTGTTGTTTTTGCTTTGTTTTGATTTTTTAATTAATTAATTAATTAATTAATTAATTAATTAATTAATCTTAAGCCAAGAGGGTGAAAGAAGGAGGCAGAATGAAGAAAGAATCGTGCTCGGAACAGCAATCCATTTTCTTCTTGAAATGTTAAAAAGAGGTAGTTAGAAGAGGGTAGTGTGTAGAAACACTTTAATTTGCAACAAAATAGTGGGAGGCCTTTATTACTGACCTTACAGGGGTTGATCAGTTCCTAAGCAATTAGTAAGGAAAACTCTATTTATGACAATACTCAAATGCCTTTATTGTTCATTCAGTCTCATAATAGACGCATAGAACTTTACAGCGGCAGACTCAACCTATCTATCTCTTAGACTCAACCTATCTTTCCGAGACAGCTGTAGAGCAGGCACCACAAGAACATCAGCACCACCGAGAACAAGATGGATTTCCACGTGCACAGCTCTTTAAAAGCCGTCATTTAAAACCCATGCATTAACTCTCTCCAGGAAATCGTATGATTCCATTTCACAGAAGAGAAAACGGAGGTCTCAGGGTTTGGTAACTGATTCAAAGTCAATGATTAGCAAAGGCAGCAAAGGGAGCTGACTTGTCACTCTGATCCTAAAACGCTTTGTCTTTAAAAAGGGAAAGACAAAAACTCTTAGAACCAACCAAGTATGGCAAACCTGCATCCAGGACGCCAGTCCCAGCCTGAGAGCAATGCATTGCCCACTGTAGCCAGTCCTACAAGAAGCCAGGATCTCTTCTGTTACCTTCTGTTTTATCGGCAGAGCAGACCTTGCTTACGCTGCTTCTGGCCCTAGTCATGTGTCCGGGGCCTTGGCCCACAGTGCTCAGAATCCCTCCTCTTCAGCATCTGCTACCATTTGGTCAGAATCTACATATAGAAAGCTATTTCCTTTTTTAGCCAACAAGTACCCTTAGCTTCTTACTACTAGACGTCTAGCTAGCCAAGCAGCACGCTCTGAGGTCTTGTGCCTGTCACCACATAACAAGGTCAAACAGAAACAGTCATAGCTGGGTGATGGACTCGTCATGGTTTCTAAGAAGTACTGGAGCCAAGACTCCCATTCCATTGCTTTCTCGTTGAGCGGTCTCAGTTTCCAGCTCGAAACCGAAAGGGAATGTTTAATGCTGGGCACCAAAGAGTACCTAAATATGTGGAAGCATCTGGAACTCTATTTGGCACAATGGAGGTTTTTGTTTGTACCTTGCTTTCTTTTCTGATATTTTCAATGAAAACCATCGACTGTGACCTGATTACCAGTAACAGTTTGGTAGTGAACTTGAATTTGCAAGAAACAGGTTGCTGACACTGCCAGGCTTTCATGGCACTAGGTGGTACCAGACAGCAGCTATCAGGGAGGACACTCGGGCACCGCTAAGACGGTTGTTTAACCAGGCATCAAGACCGTCTGGGCAAGACTGAGGAAGCAGAGAGGCAGCTGTAGGCCCTGCTCAGATCACATCCTCTCATTCCCAAGTCAGGCCTGCCTCATAACACGTCTTTAGCTCCTGCGTTTGCTTCATGGGAGTGAACAGCTAAAGCTCTCTGGGTGTGTTCATAGCTGAAGGCAAAGACGAATCCAAGCAGACCAGGTCTACTGGAAAGAGAGAGAGGACTTCTCCGCTGTGAACCGGGGATCAGAGACATCGTGACTGACTACTTCTGCCTTCTCCTAAGAACTTTCCAGGTTGGCATAGTTGGGGTTCTGGAAGTCCTTCATAGGCACCCAGTGTTAGCATCTCATGAAGGAGTCTGTTTCTGTCTCCAGTTATTTTGCTGCAGTGTTAGACAGATCTTTTCCCTGAACCACAACACCCTGATCTAAAGAAAAGCAGAGGAGTTGCCAAGGCCCGAGCACTCTACGTTGCTGCAGCTGGGGAGTCTGGGTATGAGAGTTGGTAGGTGAGTGACCAAACCAAGAGAAAAATCAGACTCTAACTCTTAGCTTAGAGGTCAGCAATAATGGGGTGTGTGGGGTGGGGGCTGTCTATGTTATAAAAGCAAGCAGAACCTTTTTGGAATTCGGTGTCACAGCCAGGCTTCACTGAAGAAAAGGCTTTTGCATCAAATGAGATGTAATTCAGAGTCTGGGGCTAAGGACTGGGTCTGCTGGTGTCGACCTTATGGCTCTGTTGCTGGTTGCACAGCTAGCATGAGATAGCCATTTAAGATGGCAGGCTGGGCACGTCGCTTAGTGGTTAAATGCCTGTACTCAGGTACCCAGATCCTAGTATTCCGTGTGCAACAGTAAACAGGCTTTGTGTGATGCTTACTGACCCTCACGGAAGACTTCCTCCTCCTGAAGCTGAGGATCAGAGACATTAAGTAATTTGCCTGAAGACACACAGCTAATTTCCAAAGCCTCCATTTGAATTAGACACCATCATTTCCCTCTGTGCTATCTCAATTTCTCCGATTCTGTTACCTCAAAGCTCCCTTTATTCATCAAAGTGAATGGATTGCTGGGTTTTTCCCCCCATTATTTGTTAATACGTCAGAAACAATTGATTCAAAAAGCAGCACTAAGCTGTCATTCACAAGTCAGTCTCTTCCAACAATAGGAAGGAAGCAGGCGTTTCTTACAGGAAAATGGGCATCTCTCCTTTTTGGCTAGCTCAACCCTTGAGCCCAGAGCCAGGCCTGCGGGCACTCAGAGAGCTCACAGACAGCTGCTGAAATTTCCCCTGTGGAACAACAGTCCTTTCCTGGAAGATCTGCTGGTTTAGGGGGCTGTAGGTCTCCCACTTCTGGTCCTGAGTGACAGACATAGCTCACTTGGTCCCTCTGTAATTGGCAGTCCCCAGCAAGGTGGTCAGCCAGATGGCACTGTAATCGCCTTGGCGACGGCTGGAGCCTGTGACTCCCTGCTGTCTGGAACCCCCAGCAGCCGGTGGAGGTGAGGAGGGGCAGACAGGAAGGCAGCGGGTGTCAGAATCCAAGACTGTGGAGATGCTTAAATTGCAGCACCAGGGAAGGATGGGCAACGATAAAACACAGCTAAGAACAGGGGCAGAGCAGGGCGTTATCTCCAGCGAGTCGTGTTCCTTTTCTGGGTCTTGGTCTCCTTGTCGAAGGAGTTGGACGGGCCAGTGTGAGACCTCTTCTGGTTTTAATGCCCTACAACTTTAGACCTGTGCTAGGATTGGGGGATAGGAGTGAGGTAGCTGGGAGATGGGAGCAGGGGCTGGTGTCAGGAACCCAGCCAGACACCGCTGGAGTTCTAAGACAGTGGCAGGGCAGAGCCCCTTGACTCGCTGGGTGATTGTGGCTCTGTGAACACCACCTGTATAGGCAGCTGCTGAGTGAGGAGAGGGCCTGGAGGGACCAACCACCCGCTATACACTGGTTAGCTTCAGATGTCTCCGTTGCCCTAGGGTAGGGGTGGAGACCTGACAGGAAGGTAGAAGGTCAGAGTTGTCCCTAGAGAGCAATAAATCAGTCTCTGGGTTGGGTTAAGATTCTGGGGACAAAGGGTAGAGAAGATGGAGGCCACCTAACCTCTTACTGGGAAAGTCAGGCTGGTGTGCCTGCTAGCCATGGGATGTTCGAGGAAGCTGTCTGCACACAGCGGTGCTGGTCTGTACTCTGCTGAGCATCTCTGACTCTTTGTCACGTGCTCTTCCTTCTCCCAGGCCCGTCTGGTCAGGCTCTCCCTAAACCTTGGCCAGGAAGCACCCACATTAGTGAAGAGCTAAGGAGTAACCAGGAATCTCGACGAGGGCCATGACGACACGGAGGAGAGGACAGGAACCCACTGAGTGAAGAATGCAAATCCTTGCATCAAGTGATGCTTCTTCAGTGGTTCTGAGCTGCGTTGGAGCCCGTGGAATCATAGTTCTGCACGGTGTTGCTACAAATCGGACCAGAGAGGGTCCTTCTACTTCCAACATTTTATAGGAGAACAATGAGAACCAGGAGGAGGAAGCGTCACGCCCAAGGTCACATAGTTACTTAGGGCACCAGCCCCAGGTTTCCCACCCCAGGTCTGGGTTCTACTGCCACATGATCAGAAGCAGGGAAGGCGCTGGCAGAAGTCACTGCCTCTCTCTGCCTTCAAATAGGATGGAGTCCTCCAGGCCGCCCGCCTCGCTCGGATTAACTCTCGGTCATCAGTCTCTTTCACCTGACCTCAGGGGCAGCTGGGATTCCTGTACATAGCCACTGCACAGTGGAGACATGATACAAGGCAGGAAGCTAAGGAGAGAATATTTTTAAACTGCCCAGCATGGCTTATGAAGGAAAAAAAAACCCAAAGCACTCTCCTAGATGCCGTGAAAAGCATTTCCAAAGAGATTCCATGCCCAGAGAAAACACTGTAAAGACGCTGCTGGTTTTTTATTTTTAAAGGGCCAATTCCCACTGCCCAACAGTTCTTGGAAGTGGACTAGTGACCCACTTCTTAAGATGCCCCAGGGTGCTGCAATTCCACAGGGGCAGACTGGGACCGGAGGGGGCCCCTCCCCTACGCGCTTTTCAAGACAGAAATCAGTAGATTTACCAACCTTCCTATTTAATTTAGCCCGGCTTCACTATAGCCGAAACAGAGAGGGGTAGGAAGTCAGGTGCAGAGGAAGACTTGCTTCGTATCCAGCCTCCCTCTCTGAGCTACTTCCCGCTGATGAGTAGTTTAAGCTTTTAAAGTTCAAGTCCACCCTTACCTGCTTCCTCTCCTCCTCCCTGGAGTTGGCTTCTTCAGGCTCTGGCTGCCGTTCAGCTGCCCACTGTTATTTGCTCTTGAGCCTGTCAGTTGCTCCCCTCCCACCCTCTTTTAATCGCTGTCCTGTACCCTCCTCCCTCCTCCCACTTCTTCCTCCTTTCTTTCTCTCCACCCCTTTCCCCCTCTGGGTCCCTCCCTCCCCTCTCTCTTTTGCGCTCTTAGAATTTTGCACTCATTTAAAAATCGTCTGCCCTCCCTCTCCTCACCAGCCCCTGCTCCAACCTCCAACCCCGAGAAAGACTCCGCTCTTCTCCCCCACCCGGCTGCCCTCCGCTGTCCCGCTTGGTGGCTGTCCTTGTCCCCGCAGTCCCGGCACTTGCTCTCTTCTCCGCTGGCTGGCTCAGGCACAGCCTTTCTGGGTCTTTTCCTGCCCACCCCTCTGCGGAGGCTTCAGAATTCTGCTCTCCTGAAGCATTCCAAGGATAATCCCTTTCCCCCATCCTTTCTCTGTCACCAGAGAAGAAGGTGTCCCTCCACACAGCAAGCCCTCAGAGAGCCCGGGGAAAAGTAATTCTTCCAAGCCTCAGAGGTTTGACACCTAGAATGGACGCAAGCTTAACCAGAATGGCGGAAGACCTTGACCTGGAGCTCCAAATGGTGGAGCCACCTTCCCACCACCCAGAGCGTTCTCGTTCCCTCCTCTCTAACCAAAGGACAGCATCGTCTGGGAGCCTGGGCACTGGACGAGGGCTTCTCATAGGTGGCCTGTTTTATTCCATCTAACCACCCCAGTTTCTGATTTCACACATGTAGGCATTCTTCTACAATGCCCCTGAGGAAACAGAGGGTCGAAGACACGGAGTAGCATATCAGTTGAGTGGCAGGTTAGGCTTCAAAGTTTTATCCAACGCTGAAATTCACTTCCTGGGGCCATCTAAAGAAGTATCCAGACACCCCAGTGCAGCTGAGCCAGTGAGACATCTCAGAATACTGTTTATCTCAGGAGAGCAAATTCAGACATCATGGTGCACCCATCACCTCAGACCGCCTCCTCTTCCGTCTTGTATCAATTGCTCTGTTTCAGCATTAAGCCATGGACCCAGTGGGGCTGTGACAGAGGTCAGAAGCGGGGGTTACTGAATTCAGAAAAGCCAATGACTAAGAGCCCACAGATACGACAGCTGAGGCGGAGAATCTCATCGAGGGAAACTGAGGGACAGTCTAGACTTCCGAACAGTGTCACATACCACAGTGGGTGGCAGGTGGCAGCCAGCACACAGCCCCGCCTCTTGCTCCACTTGGCGCCTTCCTCATCCAGAGCTAGTCACAGACGGACTCATTTTCCAGGGGTGAATAAGCTGAGGACCAGCAGGAGAGGACAGAACTGTGGGGCTTCATTTACGGGATCCAGAAAAGGGACAAGCTCTGAGAAAAACAAACGCAGGACCTCGATTCCTTAGCAAGAATGTGCCGGGCCAGCCTGCCTGGGTTTGAGTCCTGGCTCTGCTACTCCGCAGCCGAGAGCAGCACTGAGCAAGCTACCCTCCGTGAAGCTCAGGTTCTTCAGGTAAACTGCAGTGATGATTTCTACTTCCCAGGGCTATCATAAAAGCCGATGACATCTGTAAGGACTTGGGCTAGTGACTAGTATAGGGAGGGACAGTGTATGACTACAGAATACAGCTCAGTGTGGGGCAGCACAGAACTTGCTCCCTCCCTCCTCGTGCTGACTATGCTGGGAGAGAGCTCAGCCCCTGAAGGTAATTGGTCCTGGGTCCCAGTTTTTATTTTCCCAAATCACCCCCATGCTGCGACTTTGTCCCTACTCCCCAGCTACTTCGTCACACAAGGCACCTGGAGACACACTATTATCTCTAGCCAGAGACAGACAGTTAAGATCCCAGAAGGTCTCACCTGGGGGTGATCTGAAAGTGGGGAGGGTTTAACAGAATATTCATTCATAGAGCATGAGGCTGCCAAAGCAAAAACGAAATGCCAGGATCGATGCCTAGGTCATCGTGGATACGGAGAGAGCGCCATTTTTCTTTGAGTACCTAGAGGAAAAGACAGGCCTAGATATAGACACATTCACGAGGATAGACAGTCCAGGGCATAACAGGCAGAGACTGCCATCCAACCTGGAGACAACCTCAGTAGGGAAACAGGTGAGTCATTGGAGACTTCAGGAAGTCAGGCACAAGGCTCAGCATGACATCAAGATCGAGCATATGGTGACAGGCTCAAAACAAGTGCTTTTAGAAGGACTTTGGAAGCGTCGTTTATTTAAAACTTGCCAGAATCTCTCTGGAGCCAAGGCCAGGACTATGACAAAAGTAAGGAGCATGTCACTCAGGCTGTAAGTCTGGAGGGCTTCTCTAAAGCACCCAGAACAGCTGTCCTCACAAACCAGAGCATCGCGAGCGGATCCCTAACGCCCTAGACAGAGGTTCAGACAAGGCCTGGGGAACGAACAGAAACCCTGCTGTGTCCTCCCCCTTCCTCCCCATGCTCCGTGTGGAAGGAGGCATTGAGGGTGGCTCCACCCATTAAAAATGGTACTACAAAGCCAGCTCTATGTGGGGCCATGCTAGCACACTTCACAATTTTTTCACCTGGAGATGTGTCCTAGTTAGAGTTTCTGTTGCTGCAACGAAACACCATGACCAAAGAGCAATCGGGGAAGAAAGGGTTCGTTCAGCTTACACTCCAGTATTGTTGTTCATCACTAAAGGAAGTCAGGATAGGAACTCATAACAGGGCAGGGTCCTGGAGGCACGCACTGAGAGGAACTGCTTCCTGGCTTGCTCAGCTCACCTTCTTGTTGAACCCAAGAGCAGCAGTTGAGGGATGGCACCACCCACCATGGGCTGGGCCCTGTCCCAGCGATCACTAAATGAGAAAATGCCTTACAGCTGGATCTCAAGAAGGCATTTCCTCAGTTGAGGCTCCTTCCTCTGATGACTCTATAGCTTGCGTCAAGTTGACACACAAAACCACCCAGTACAAGATGAAAATATAGACTAATGATCTAAGTTTTTTGTTTGTTTGTTAAGATTTACTTTCTTTTTAATTATTGGTATGTGTGTGTATGTGTCTATGTGGAGCTATGTGTGTGCATGTGTCTATGTGGCGCTATGAGGGCAGTGCCCATGCAGCCGGAAGAGGGTGTCAGATCCCCTGGGATCTGGAGTTAAAGGCAGTCTGGGCTGACAGTCATGAGCTCTGGGAACCCAACGAGGGTCCTCTGCAAGACCAGCAAGTGCTCTTCACTACACGGAGCCTTCTTTCCAGCCCATAGAAGAACAACCATGAGAACCATCTAAACTGCATCTTTATCACAGCCGCGGCAAAGACTCATTGGCCACCTCTTTGGACTGTTTGCTGAGAAACAAAGGCCACAAGGAACTGCCATTCTACTTCCAAAATAGAGTGCTTAATTGTAAAACAATTAATATAAACACAGCATTGTTTATGTAATCCTTTGCTAAATTACATGAGGGGGAAAACTCTTTTGCCAGAGTGTGATTGCTTTGTGGTGTCATAGCACAGTGGAAAGGAGGGGAGCATCTTCAGTTCCCAGTGCAATACCGCAGGACTAAGAGGATGCTGTTATTCCGTGTTAATGTAAAAAAAAGTCCGGACTCAGAGAAGCTGAGTAGCTTGGCCAACATATTTTAGGGCGCGGAGAAAAGTTTTGCTGAGGCTAAGGGTCATCACTTTGCCCCACAGCTGTGAAGAAAATATGAACCCCACTGGACTAGTAAGAAAGGGACACATGGTACCCCAAGTAAGAGCATGATAATAATGGACCCTACCCCTGGCAGGAGAGGCCGTGCCCCCTGTAATTACAAAGATGACTTGGCACGGTCTGAGATCCCCACATCCTCCACCGAGGATTTTCTCAAGGCGGTATCTCAAAACTTGCTTCTTTTCCCCCTTTAGAAACAAGAGGGGGATGAGGAGACACATTTTCCATGTTCGCTTCACCCAGTGAATCTCTGGTTCTTCCCATTTCCCTCCCAAGACGTTGTGGTCCAGATGTTTGAACAGCTACCTCTCCTTTATAGTCTGTACGAGAAGGCAAGGCGTGCGAGTAATTTCTGTCAGCAGCTAATTGCAAGAGCAACGAGTCCCCAGTGCCTAATTGGAGGGTGTAAATGGGTAATCGGAGCTGTGGTTAGTGGGCTGAGGTCACACTTCTCTGCCGGCTGAGATGCAAACACCGCAGGCTTGAACCATTCCCTTTAGGACTTCAGCTTCCCTGATCCTGGTCAGAAAAAGGGACAAGAACACTTTGTCCCTTTTTTTTCCCCCCGAGAAGGCGAAAGAAACGCGGACTGACTTCCTTGTTTCTTTACTCGCATCATGTTTCAAGTTCTAATCCCCACAGACGAGTTAAAATTGACCCTACCTATTCGGGTTTAGGGGTCCTCTGGGCTCCCAGACTTCAGAACTCTTTTGAGGTGGGCTGAGCCAACAGAGGGGAGGAAGAGGGGATGGAATCACCACCATCACCCTCACAGTCGTTACCACACCCTCAATAACAGGCACACCCGATTCTCTCCCACTGAAGTCAGAGTATTGGACAAAAATACTAGGCTCCTGAAAGCCCAGGACTGGAGATTTCACTCTAAAATAAAAACGTGGGTTCTTTGCCTGGGCCATCTTGGGATGGCATTTGCTCTCCAAGTCCAGGAAATCCCTGAAACTAAACTATTGAGAATCTTAGCTATTGGGCCTGTTGCAGACAAGGTATAGAGATTATAACTTCTCTCCCTTCCTCCCTCCCTCCCTCTCTCCCTCCCTTTCTTCTTTTACCAAGGGATGCATTCTTGCCTATCCTTGCCCCTCTACTTCACAAGGACTAAAGATGACTTGCTTCTCCTTTGAGTACAAGGGTGGGTACTAGGTGGTCATACTGGTTAGTTTTTGTAAACTTGACATAAGCCAGGATTATCTGGGAAGAGGGAACTTCAATTGAGAGAATGCCTCCATTAGATTGGTCTGTATGTAAGTCTATGGGCTCATTTTTTTTTTTTTGATTAATGATTGATGTGGGAGGGCCCAGCCTACTAAGGGTGGTACCACTCCTGGTTTGGTGGTCCTGAGTTATAAAGCAGGCTGAGCAAGC